CTGAAGATATTGCCTACTGTCGCTCTCCTGAGGCAAGTACAGGGACGTCCTCCAGCACATCATTATAGAAAACAGGAGAAGAAACAAAAATCATGCTTTGTGAGAGGAAAAATATTATGTCAGACAAACGAAGGAAGGAAGTGGAGGAGGAAGAGGAGGAAAGAGAAAGGGAATGTTGCAGAAGAGTTTGGGTGGGGAAGACAAATGGGGAAAAAAATCCCATATAAAGTTTATGCTCAAGAAAGCAGTTACTCTTTGATCACTGCTGTCTCAAAAGTAATAAACTCAAACATGCTGAAGACATAAAAAACCATCTCAGTTTTCCTAGTCAAATGATAGAAAGGTAAGGAAAAAAAAAAAAAAAACCACAGGAAAGTATGTTTTCTAACTCAACATTCTCAGTTCCAAGAAGACCCCAACAGTTTTCCACACAGCAACTGAACCACTCCACCTCTTCATAAGCATTGCAAAAATTTCCTTAGAACTGCCCAGTTTGATAAGTTTGAGATTATTTCTTCAGTATCTTTTATCTTTCTACCCTTTGTACAGAGACTAATGGTAGTGCTCTGCCTTACACTGGGACTCTTACAAGTTTAGAAAATGGATAGACTATTTTCACAGAGGCCCCAGTTTGCTGTGAAGTTCCAAATAGCCTTTGCTTTCAATGAAGCATGTGGATAGTTAATGGCAAATAAATGATTAACTATTGAAACTGAAATCAATAAAAGTTTAATAATTCAACGTAATTTTCTAGTTGAACATACCTACCTACAGCAAGCTTTCTGATCTCTTTCCATTTCTAGTTAAAAGTGAATTTCAATTTCATTACCTTTTTCATTCAGCTTTTTCCCCCCAAGACAAACATCTTCCCGATTTGCTTCATCTGAAGCAATAAAGGCCATCTTTTGAATGGCATTTCTGAAAAATCTCAAAAGCAGTGCAATGCAAAAGGCCACCCCTATAACTCAATTCAAGAGCTGACTAACACCAAGCATAAAATGGTGGGAACAGAGTATTTCCTGCAGCTGCTCTGGAAAAGAATTAGGAAAGGAGCTATCTCTGCAATACTGCCACTGATGAGGAGGAGATTACACTGCAGACAGCTACCACGATCCCTCAGTCAATTACAATCCATGCTAAACTGGGGGTTCATTAGGCACATTTTTTGAGAATTTATTTTTAACCAATAAGTGAAAATTCTGCTCATTATCTAGAATTGATTGCTGATTGCCTAACCTGTGCAACACTCTAATGAGTCACAGGACTTCAGCATTGGTGATAAACATTGGTTTTCTATTTATATGGTGATAATATTCATATGTGTATGGATTCTAGCAAGAACAGCCTGGAGTAGCTCTGTGATCTTAAGGAGTATGTACAACTCAAGATTGATTCATAGCACCTTAAGAACATTTAAGAAAAAAGTTGACTCACTAATGTTGTGAGAATATCAGTCATTTAGCTTTGTGTTTAAAAAGTCACTGCAATCACGCCACAGCAGTACAAGTGTTTTCTAAGTAACTGTCTTATTAAAGAGGTGTTGAAAGTTGCTCAGGGTATGGCAGTGAAAAAGAGATAGCTGTGCATCTCTTGAGTGTTTCAAGCACTGAAGAACTACTGTCATTGATCTGAGCTTTTACAGAGGATTAACTATCTTTCCCTTTGGTGAAAATGCTCTCCCTTCTAATCAAGTCTAACGTGTATTTGTCTTTTCTACCTTAAACTTCTTTGAAAATAATTCAAATTTTGTTTCACTAGGGCTGGAAGATACTATTCTATCAGCATTTCACTAGAGTTTATCTTTTTTTTTTAAACCTGTATAGGAAAATATTTAAATACAATGTTTCATTTCAACCATCCAGCTGCAATGTCTTAAGTCTATTAACATTGCCAAATCACATTGCTTTAATGATGCTATGCGGCAAAAAGCTCAAACTAATGGAAAATCAGGGTGATACCACTACAGCAAAAATGTGATCATTCTTTCTAAAAATTATCTTTTCTACCCTAATCCTGAGGTAGTTCACAGTTTCCAAATGAACCTCAAAGCAAATGGGAAGACAGTCTAACAAAACCTCCTTAATCAGACCTTCAAAGGGAGCTAGGGCTTGGTTCATAAATGGGAGTTAATATCAATGTTTAACATTTTGCTGCTCTGATTTCTTGCAGATTACACCACTTCAGAAGTTACCCGAGGTTCATTGAACATTCACTAGCACAGCAGTATCGGCCAAACTCTTCCAGCTCGTAACCACAGTGTGAAAGAATTATGTTCACACATAGATGTGTGCTTCATCTGCAGGCATATGTAATTCAAGAGCAGGAGAATGAGCTCCAAAGCGAGAAACCAATCCAAGTACTGTTCCTTTCTCTTCTTGGTGTGAAAATAGCATTTTTAATGGGAAACTGGATTCAGCTGTCTGTCCTTGTATGGAGAGGATCAAAGTGAAGAAAATCCCTTCTGCCAAAGGGTTTTAAATATGCATTTCATTTTTTTTTCTTAAGGATTTATATTCCGACACTTTCAAAAAGCTGGTAAGAAAGAACTGAAATTTGTATGTGTGTCTGTTTGCATATAAAGACTTCACTGGCACATACACAAAACATGAAAGTATCAATTTTTCAGGAATTAAACACAGACTAAAACACTCTCTCTCCTCCTCATGCACAGAAATCTTCTGCTTTCCAGAACGTCTCACTGCACAACAGGATCTTATTGTATTATCAAGTAACACTTGTGTTTTCACCCCTCAATGGCCTTATATTCAGCTCTACGACTATTTCCAGCACTACATCGCCTAGCTGTGATTTAGAAGTGGAAGGGGATTGCTTTATCAGACATTACACTCAATGGAAGGAGAATATTGAAAGGCTGCCAGGGCCCTGAAGTTAAAATGGTGTTTGTAAAGTGAACTCTAAATGCCAGGGCAGCTAGAATATTTCTTCCCTCTCCATTTCTTTCCTCTTTCTTCCTGAGAAATCTCCACTATGGAGCCCAAGTAATCTAATCATTACCTGGGGCTATATCTATGTACTGGGCCTAATTAGTTAAAAATATAGCACTGAATTCTTCCCAAGTCTGCAATTAAGACACCACATTAATCTTAGTCAATAACTTCACTCTGCTTGTTTTTCTACCCAGAATAAAGATAACGTAATGGATAGGTAGTCCTGGAGCATAATCCCCTTTAATCCCACAGACTCCAGTCTAACGAAATGAGGAGACATACATCTCCTTTCTGTCCTGCCGTATCTCACCCCTGACTTGGGGCAATGAGCTCCAGGAGAGCACTGATTAGCATCAATGCTCTTTGGACCTCATCAGTTCTTAATACCAGAAGTCAGTAACCAATTACATGGATAGCTAACCACTAGCAGCTGAGCAGAAACGATCAGCTGTTTTGACACAGATTTATAGAAGTGATTTACAAACCATGGCCACAAAATAGTGATGCAAACCTCAGGGGCTCCATATCTTTGTGATCTTCGTAACCTACGAAGCATAAGATAAAACTCACGCCTGATGGTGGACAACAGTCATAAGTTTTAGCAGGGCTGAGTTTGAAATATTGACCTCTTACTTGTTTCTTTATTAAGATTGAGGAATTCCACAAAGATATAAGCAGGGACTTTTACTAGGTTGCAGACTCATCTCACTTCATGTCACTTGAGATCAGAGCTCTGTTGTTTGTTTGCTAGACTTTTTAATTAGTCATGGCTTTCAGAAAGCCTAAATCACCCTGGAGATGAGGAAGAACTAATAGAGTGAGGAAAGAAGGCTCAGCACCTTTATCTGCATGTGCTCCAACTCCTGTCCCTGTTCCTTCCCACCCTGCTGCACCCAGGCAAAGGGATGCGAAGAGCTCTGCCTACTCTAAACAGAGACGCAGTACTGCTGCAGTCCCAATGGATGACAGCTATTCTGAGGACTTTGATGAGCTTGGTGTTTAAGTACTGCAGACCCAGGTGACAAAACAGTCAATTCTGAATGCAAATCATGTGCAGAAGTTAACCAGCAAGGGCACTAGCTGCAACAATTGATCACTGGCAAGTACAGTGACTTGGATCAGTTTGACCCTGCTCTCTTACTTACCCTTTGTTAATTTTGTGGTGAAATTCAAAATAATATCATTCAGCTTTTGCACTGCAGTGTAGTAAAACTGACTTGCAGTTAGTTTTCAATTATCTCCACTTCCATGTTACAGCAATACAAGACTATTGCATAAAAAAAAAAAAAAAGACAGGAGGACTTACAGAGTTGTCTTTCACCAGAAGAGCACAGCACTGGATTCCTGCCAACAGCATTTTATGGGGATTCCAGGCAACAGAATTAGCCCTGCAAAATTTATAAACGGAGAAAGGGAGGTGGAAATTGTACCTATAACCACGGGTACTAGAGAATCAAAAATGGCCAAACACAATCCATGCATTTTCTACTCACTCCTCTCCCCCATAGGGTCAGAAATCTCTCCAATTAATAGTAATAACATGTTTTGGAAAACACAGCTCTCACGGAGCTGCAACACACCACAAAACTTCCATTTCAGCCCTTGGTAAGTGTGCCCATGAACTAAATTGACTCACCTGTGGATGCCATGAAGAAGTCTGCAATGCTTCCTCGATATTAAAGCTGAGCCACCCCAAGAAGCCTGTTGGAACATTTATAGAGTCAAGAAAAGATTATTTGTAGAAAGTGTTCTTGATAATGCTTCAACTAATAATTTCTGAAGACATTTTATCTCAGTTGAAATCTAGTTTACTACATGATCAGCGGGCTAATTAATATCACCCACTGAAATAAACATGGCAATCCAATTGACAGTAAAATGGAGTAAGATTCACCACTTCTGCCTCAGGTCATCTAAGAACTAAGTGTGTGGTCTAAGAGTCATTTAGGCCTTCTCTGTAGTGAGGAGCTCTCCAAGTAAAACTCTATCAAGTGTCATCTTATCTCTTCTAGATACCTGTCTTTGGGTGATGCCTTTTGCAGATGTCTCTCTCCATGGACTACAGAAGGAACCCAGACAACAAGCTTTTATTATGCAAGTTTAATTTCTGGCAACTGGAGTCAGGGAAGGTGATTCTCATCCATGAATTCTGCAAGGATCAGATTCCACCCACCAGGTGCTGTGACTCTTCAGTTTTCAAACAACAATATTTGTCCACTTGGGAGGGGTGAGGACAACACGCAACAAACAGTAGACATCATACAGCACATTTGAAAAATTATTATTAAATATGAAGAAAAGAGTTTTCAATATTCATACAAGCAGAATCCATTTAAGCAAATTCGCTGTGAAGTAAGCAAGGCTCCTCTGAGATGGGCATCAACTCAGAGAACTCAGCCTATTTAATATTCATACATTTGGGGCTAATGAATGAAAAAAAATCAAAAAACCCCATCCCACCAACCCAAGTCAACCAACCAATCAATCAAACAAACAGAAAACAACTGACGTGAAGATCCTTGACCTAAGGACAGAGAAAACATGGCTTTTTTCTTTTTTTCCTTGAAAGAAACAAATGTGATAGCTGCTCTATGTATTTAGCATAAGTATTTGCTTCATACGCCATAAATTATGAATAAGATCTGCTGCCTCTGAGAGACAGGAAAGGTAAGGGCTCACAAGGGAAATGAAAGGTTAATAACTTGTCTTACTATGTTGTTCTCATTAATACAATATATTAATGCACCACATCTTATTTTGTTTTCATGATCACAACATCCTTGCTGAAGAAAGGGCTGCTGCTCGGTCTACAGGTGGGACCTTAGGATTTGCCTCAAACTTCACAGTAATCTTGTGGCAGAACCATGACCTGAAACTGAGTTTCTTCAGCTAGCCCAAATTTGCCATGTTACAGGAAGACAACCAAACTGAACTTCCTATTCATAGATAAATTCTACTGTTATTCTCTAATGAAACAAAGGCAAACCAGTCACTAAGTTATTCCCTGATTTTCACAATTCATAAGCAACCCACTGAAATACAATAAATCTTCACAAAATTTGCATCCAAACGTGTCTGAATTTGAAAAAGCCGACATTTTCACACTGTCTTTGAAAAGCAAGACCAGAAAGGCCTTCACGAGTTCATCTCAACAGTGTGCTGCCCACAAAAGCAGGATTAGCCATACCAATCTCCTTCTGTCAAATGCTTGTCTTTTCTAGAGATGATTAAATCAATGAACATGTTCAGCTTGTGATTAGCAAAGTGAAAAGTGCAGAGAGATATCAGCCATTGCTGCCTCCGCAGCACCATTGGTGCTACTTTCTGCCATTGTTCTAAAAATTACAGCTGGAGATCTGGAAGAGAGGGACGATAGTACTGGAGGTCCACCACCATCCATCTCTGGTCCATCTCCACCACCTTTCAGTCTCTCCTTAAGCCACAGTACTACAGGAAGAATTTGTGCTTCAATGCTTCTTTACACAGCTCAAAGACTAAATGCTTAGAAGGCACCTAAGAAGACTGAGAATCACTGAATTTTTCTGGTTTAAAAGATCTCTGATGATGGAGACTGCACAACTTAACTGCTCAGAGTGTAATAGCAACAACCCTACTGATTTAAAGCATCAGTCCTAAACAGTGTTACTGCTTATCATACCTGCAGTGGTCAGGACAACAGACTATTCCTTTTCTTTTTTGCAGCAGCTTTTAAAGCATCTATAGACTATTACATATTATCTCTTTGTCTTTTCTAGTTTAAACAAAATCAGTGCTTTTTATCTTTCCTCATTGGTCATAATTTCTGGGTATGATTTTGTTTATCTGGACTGTTTTATTATTGTCTAATCTTCCTCCTGTAGGTCCTTAACTTTCTTGAAATGCAAGAATCATCATCTAGATAAAGCAGATGGAGCAACAAGCAGAAAGACCCTATCTGAAAATGCTTATGATGGCTGATTTGCCAGGTACTGCAAATCCCAGATCTTCTTCTCAAGATCTGCTGTATATTCAACATTCTCCAGCCTGTTTGTGTAGTTGATTATTATAGCTTAAACTCAGAGATCCATCTTTACTGAACTGTAGCCTAGTTTTTCCACTTTTTTCTCCAAACTGTCAAGATCCCTTTGATTTCTAATCCTGTCCTCCTACTGCCTCTTGCAGTAGTTTTACGTAATTTTCAAATTTAGTAAGTGTATTCTTTTTCATCCAAGTTATTAACGAAAATACTAGATAACCTCTAATCTAGGATGGGCCTTTATGGAATTCTGCTCAAAGAAGGAAAGTGGATTGATCAAACCAGATTGACACATTTTGTTTATAACAAGTCCAGCTGAGAGCAATACAGGGTAGCTCAAAACACAAAGATTATCACCTGTGTTTCATGCAATGTAATTGGTAATTAGGGATAGGAAAAGTAGTGTTCCATATACAACAAATCACTTAGAGTCGAAGGAGGGAAACCACAGTGTTCACAGAGTGATTAAACTAACTACCCAAGCACAGGCTAATAGGTCGAATTTGATTTTCTGCACTAGTCTAGTCATAGGAAAAAAAAGGAAAAGTCAGAGTAACAACCAGCAGGAAAGAAACACTCATACATAATATTTAATGCTCCATGAACGTAAAGAGATGATATAAGTAAGTTCTGGAGCTTCAGTGTGTACTGATGATGCAAAACAAGTCATTAAGAAAGTCATCACTGATGTATGATAGAATGCACTAAGTAACTGGAACGTGTGTATGAGTATTACAATGTGCACAAAATAAGACTGGTTATAGTCTCTGCTTTTGAACTGCCTGACTGCTAAGAGAGTTTGGGCTTTTTAGTATGATCTTCTTAAAACAACTTTTTCCTTAACTCCCTTTTCCGTTTTAGGCTTGACCCCGTATGAAAGCTTATCTCCTGTTTCTGACTTAATTGAAACCTGAAGTCCAGTGATTTTATGTTGACATACTTCCTTCTGCCATTCCTAAGAATCCTAAGTTTTATCATTTCATATTTAATGAAAAGAGTCTCCCTAAGGCAAACATATCAACTTTGGGGATCAGAAAACATTCTGAAATGAGCTACATCAGTGTAAATCTGGAAATAACACCACTGACATTCATATACAATGTTCTTATAAACAGCTTTTGAGATCATTTGCAGTAGATAATCCTGATTCCCAACAACAACACACGAAAACTAATTTAGACAGAACTTTCGCTGCTTTTTAATCTTTGATTTAATTGTACAATATCTTGTTTTTCCTCCGAAGTTACAGCAGGCCCAAACAGCACTACTCACTTGCTATAACTCAGACCGCATAATATGTAAAATCATTCAACAAGAAGCCAGGCCTTTCAGAGGAATATGGATCCTCGAAGCTTTCAGAAATATTATATACTTGCCTATAAGTCTAGAAGGAGTTAAGCTTGCTTAAAAACAAAGAAAAAAATCCAACTCTTCACTATGTCTCTTGTACACTCTTCCTGACTGGCAAAAGCCTGGTATCAATGTACCTTTCTACATATTATTCTAGTAAACCTAGTTATTCTACTGACATTTTTACTATACTTTAACACGAGGCAAAATCAGAAGAAAAAAGTTAATTCTTTACAAAACACTATAAATTGCCTCTGAAGTATATAGTTCAGAATATGGCCCAGGTCCATCCCACCTAATTTTAGATATTCAGCTACAGGGAGCATATTAGGAGAGTACTCGTTGGTCTCCTGCAGAAACTGGAGATGGCTCCAGTCACATCTTTTCAACCCACTTAAGACCCCTTCACAGACTCTGAATACACTCCTCTTTTCTTTGACTATGCACAGACACACAAGAGACTAATGTGAATGATGTACTTCTGCTGGAAATCTGGGTCTTTCTCACTGGCACATAGCCATGAGGAGACACTTTAAATATTAGGACTAAATTCTGCATCTTTGCCTCCAAGTCAATAAGAAAACTCTTTTGACTCATGCATAAAGTGACCTTATTTACTAATGTCTGTGAGACAGCTATTTGAAGTGCACATGTGATTTTTCTTTAGATACTCAACATTAAACAAACACTTCAAAAATTTAGAGCAGGCCTAAAAATCTCCATTAATGTTGCTCCAGATTCTCTCATTGTTCCACAGCTTTTCATCTAGCTATTCTGCATTTGTGGCATTGCAAATATAAAGAGAATGCAATTTTAGAAAATATGAAGAGAACTAATTTTAGAAAAATGCATATACAAAAAAAATACATACACAGCTAACCCTTTCAAGTAATAAAAAGGCTCAATGATTATTCCAGAAAATGTTCATGAGTGGATTTTACTCTCCAAACCTAAAATCATTAAGAAAAGAGAAAAAAAATTCCTCAGCAATTTAGGAAAATTTAAGAAGATCTACATGAAACTCAAGCCTGTGAATATGAAACAGGATAATTTACAACTGGTTGAGTCAGAAATACACCTTTATTTCAACTTGTACGTACCATACATCACAATTCTACGGTGTTCCTTCTCCATGTAGAAAGAATCTAAAGCTATATTTGTATATAATCTTCTTTGATGCATTTTTACGAGGCAGCAAGAAGAAATTGAATTTAAAATCATTTTGAAATATAACCCGACAATGACAAAATAGCTTTGACTGCCTGTCACAACCAAATTATTTGCTATTTTTCAGCACAGGTAGCAGAGACAAATCAGAACGCATTTCTGTTCTCTATGCAAAAAAGTTACTGCAGCCCAATTTAAAGAAACATCAACAGTCAAAGAAAACCAGCAACTACAAAAAAAGCGATGTTAGACAAAACTACACAGTTTACAAACTCACGTCAACATGGAGCCAAAGGCCATGCTTTTCACAGATATCGGCAATTTTATCCAGAGGATCAAATGCTCCCAGAACTGTTGTGCCTGCTGTAGCACAGACAAGAAATGGTGCTGACCCCTGCAATAGGATTCAAAACAAAAGAAAGTCATTTGCACTGCCTATTTTCTCCATTGTATCTGCAGAGCTAAAGTATAAAAAGGTCTAGGAATGCAGGACAAAGACACGACAGTCTACATTTCAGTTTCCCGTCAGAAAGTACTGCATTTAAAAATGCTCGTTTCTTCTAAAAAAAAAAAAGAAAAAAGAAAAAAAAAAGAGTCTTTTCCATTTCCACTTAACACCATCATCATCCCAGGGCAGATTTCACCAGCTTCAGACTGTTTTGACAGATGCTAGTTTTGCCACAATCAAAACACACCAGATATTTGACATCTCTTTATACATCGAGCTTCATTTCTCAGTCTTCCACATTTTACTACCATACTTGCTGCCATTATGTCAAATTAAAGCAAGCTACTAGCTCAGCCAGCAGGCTCCCTAAACAAGGAAAGGGCTCATCCCTCTAGAGGTTCCCACTTGCATTATCTCTGCAATACCCTATTCTCTACCCGGTGAGCCGGGGAACACGATTTGCCTTTGGCAGCACTGACTCATACCATGACTGCGACAGTCATCGCCATCCCAAAACTGATCAAAAAATGCTGTTCTCTCACTCCTACCCTTGTCTAGACAACAGGAAGGGCTGTAGATGGTAACTGGATGTTAGGAGAGTGACTACAGGAAATCTCAAGGCAGTTTTAAAGTTAGACAGGTGGGAGAAAGAAAACGTCATGCCGCAGTCTCAGACAACCATCATAAGCCATCCACTCTGGTTTCAGTGACTTCGCTCATTGTTCTCCCATTCAGCAAATAGCAGAGGTGCAATTAAAACAGCAGACTAGGTCATGTATCCAGGGGCTAGAGCACCTCTGCTATGGGGACAGGCTGAGGGAGCTGGGATTGCTCAGCCTGGAGAAGAGAAGACTCTGGGAGGACCTTACAACTGCTCTCCAATACCTGAAGGGAACCTAGACGAAGGCTGGAGAGGGACTTTTTACAAGAGTGTTCACCAACAGGACAAGGGGAAATGGATTTAAATTGAGGTAGAATAGGTTTAGACTGGATCTTAGGAAAAAATTCTTCAGTACAAGGGTGGCAAGACTTTGGAACAGATTGCCCAGAGAGGTTGTGGATGCCCCTTCCCTGTAGATGTTCAAGGCCAGGTTGGATGAGGCCTTGAGCAACCTGGTCTAGTTAAGGGTATCCCTAACCATGGCAGGGAGTTTGGATTAGATGATCTCTAAGGTCCCTTCCAACCTAAAACATTCTACGATTTTATGTGCCTGTGCTTCCTTAGGGGCAGAAACTGAAACAATGAACAGAATTTGTGGAGTCTGTAACAACTCCACGAAACTGAGAACATCAGCCCTGGCAATGACTGTGCGGTCTCACTTGCTGCTAAGTACCTGCTGAAGGAAATTCTCTGTATGGTTCCGCATCTGGCCCACAGCGTGACAATGCAGTTACTAAAGAGGCACTAAAGTTGTTTTAAATTCTACGATCTGGGATCCCTGGAGTTCCTTTGCAGTGAATTAAATTTCTCAGATGATGTAAATCTCTCTGCTGATGTAACTCAATGTAGCTTCACTGAAATCAGACATCAGCTGAAAAATCAAACTGAACACAAGAGTCTTTCATGTGCTTTCAATTCAGCTGAAATCTGATTGCACTTTAAAAAAAAAGTTGCCACTTTTACACATCTGCTATAGAGACAGATAGGCTTGATTCAAGCTTACACTGACAGTTTTATTCTTTATCAGTGCAGAGGACTGTTAGAATGGTATTGAATTATGATTTATTTGTATTTTAAGATTTCTTCACAAATTGCTAAAGCAGGGAAAGGTAACCTTGGAATGAATTTAAATTAATCCCATATCTTCACAAGAAATTACTTCTTGGACACTCGTTTCTAGTTCAATCTACCACAAAAATCCATCAAATTTACAAATTAGCCTTAAGTTCAAGTGAAAAACACTTGCAAGTGAGGCAAAGACGCATCATCTCCTGCACCTACATTCTGTCAGTGTTCTCACCAGTTTTCTCCCACAGTTACACCAAAGTCAAAGGTCCCTCCCAGCAGCCAGTGTGTTGCAGGACTGAATATGGGGACAAGTCTAGAATCTCTACAAATTCCAAAGATTATTACATTACATTTTTCCTGCAAAGAAGGGATTCAAATTTTGATTCCTCTTGACAACATAGTTAAATAAATCTTCCGGATTAGATTCTCTAAAAAAAAAAAGGCCTAAGGCTCTTCCTATTGATAGTGATCATTTTGTGCTCCTATCACTAGCAAATACATCTTCTGTTGTGCAGAGTCATTATTTACTGTAATTCACTGAAGTGTCCTTCTGTAAGAGTTGTAACAGAGCACTTTAAGGACAGACACACTTACTGAAGCTCTGATGAAAAGAAAACCTTCCAATATACCTGTAACTTCCATTAAAATGCAAGTGAAATAGCGTTCTCCTGTAAGCAGAACATTTTAATCATAGAATACTTGTTTTTAAATTGCAGAGCACCATACTCAGGTTGACCTTTTTTAAAAAAAAATAAAATCAAAAATGCCAGAGGATTACTTTCATATAACCATTAAATTTATTATTACATCAACAAGATGTAATTACAACAAACAAGAGCTGTTTTTGCAAGAGCAAAGAGCTCATTCTCCTGTGAGCCTGCTTCCTCTTGCTCCATTTTATTTCACTCCTTTTATTTTCCCCAGCTTGCTCAAATGAGTAAAGCAGAGGTTGCCTTCCACAGACACCATAAAGTACAGAAAGAGGAAAGCAAGAGTTTGCTAGGTCATTAGGGCTGTCATGTATCAATAGGTACACTATCTAGCATGAAAACAAAAGATGTCTAGTTGGCAGAAATTTTATCTACATCAGATCTTAGTGAAAGCTGTTGTGGCCATGCCAGTGCATGACAGGACAGCAACAAAAATAGGTTTTCCAAAGTAGGATTTCGCGTCCCATGACGTCGACATTGCACTAGTTGTTTGGTATTCACAGATCATGGACTAAGGGCTGAGCTCTGAATCCTACAGCTCTGACATACAGAGCTAACCCAGCCAAAAGAAGATGCTCTGTGCCTTAGAATTCCCATTCAGTCCTCCAAGCTCTTTAAATTATGTTGGCTATAGTAAGAGCTGTCTTACAGACTGTAGGAAGGTATGTTAATGTTGTCCATAACACACATCAGTACATTGCCAAATGCTGGCCTTTCTCTTTCTACTCGGCAAAGTCCCTAGAAGAAAAGAAGCACAGGACAGAATCTCTGCACTCTTGCTACAATAGCAGAAAGGACAAAATTTACCATTTGTAACTTGTATGATAGTTTTAGTCACTAAGTGATATGTTACAGTTCTTGCAAAGGATAGAGCAATAGATGCTGTAACTAACTAAAAAATCTACCGTTTCAATTTACTGTTTAAGGAAAACTAATACTGCATCTGTTTAAAAAAGGATCAAGGGCAAAATAGATTTTGAGAAAAAATGTGTTAAATCCTTCTAAGCAGTGTTGTACTAAAGGATTTTCATTAGTCGTAAACACCCTGTGGAATTTTGCTCACTCGTAAGAGTGCAGCACCTAGAAGTCTTGGCTCGTTCCACAAGTTTGTGGTAAACAGATTGCTCCTGTAGGAAAGACACTGTTACATTAACTACCCTATATTTAAGATTTCTCTCACTCTTGGTTTTCCCTCCTTCCAGTCAGGCACAAGCACACAGTCTGCATACGCTCCTCTCCTTCATGCTTGCTCTCCCCCTCTCACCTCTTTCCTGGCCCGCTGGACTTGTTTCTCCAGTTCCTCAGGTATCATCTTACCTCTAAGGGACACAGATTTAAAACTTTTTCAGTTACATTCAAATAGGTTGGTTATGTACAGCACTACTACATTTTATAAAGGCTCAGAGACCACAGTCATTCCTTTTGTTTGCTCACCTTTCATCTGTTTTGATGAAATAAACATTCTCTGTACCAATACCCAGGAAAGAGGCTGCCTTCTTCATTGAGTAATGACACTGTAAATGAAAGAGGCACGAAAAAAAGTATACAATTAAAATGAACAAAATCAATTCCTTAGTATAGTGAAAAGTGACATCGAAATTAATTTAATAGCAGCTAACAGTCATGGCAACAACATACGCTCACACAAAAATCAACCCAACAAAGTTACACAGCACCAAAACCATCTCATATTTAACAATGACACACACTGAAGATTGAGGAAAATAAGGGAGAAGGATGTGCACCAGGGTTAAAATGTGAGTTTAAGAAAACCAAACAAGCAAAAACATCTAAAACAAAAAAAACTCTATTCCATACAACTTTTTTTTTTTAAAGCTGGTTCTGTAATAGAATGAAAAGTAGAAATTTTTAAGTGTCACCGGGGAAGAGTTAGGAAATGCATGAGAAGAAAGGTCCAATGGCTATTAAACTCAGAATCCTAGAAGCAACGGACAGGTCTGAAAGTCCAGAAGAACCACTCCTTGGAAACTGGACTCATATGTATCTTACATATCTAAAGCCTCTACCACTTCATCCTCGTAACTTTTGTATTTGCTTTCTCTAAATGTCAGATGTTGGCCACTGCCAGAGACAGTGTACTATGCTAAATTGACCCTTGGCTCATAGGATCAAGGAGCTCAGGTCCCAAGATTTAGCAAAGCCCTTAGACATGGTACAACTGGGACTTTCAAGACTTTCAAAGCCCTCTCTCTGCAAAAGGATCTGAAAAATCATAGTGTTGTGAAGCTTGTTCACATGAATGTGAATCTTGGAAGCCATTACAAAAGCAAGCAGATTTTAGACAGGTCTCAGCACATCTTCAAAGTTAATAGAGATGCTGCAAAAGGTTACAGTCTGCACCGGTCTGCATTTTTCAGAAAATGAAGTTACTGTTTCAGCAAAGAATTTTAGCTAGGTCTCATCATAGAGACATTTTTGAATGAATACAGGTACGTGCAGCCCACTTCACACTTGGCAATGAATAAAGGGCATTAGCGTATGAAGCCTGTGAAGTGAGTGCAAAAGAAGCAGCCCCTTCACCAGCTCAAAAGGATGTTAGAAATGCACACTTATTCAATCAAAACGTGGTAAAATGGCTCTGGTGAGGATACTCAAACCCACAGTAAGCCCTGTACTTTGTACAATCTTTTTTTGTGGTATTGCTGTTGGGGGTTTTTTTGGATTTTTACAAAGTTATACCTTGAATATTGAAAAATTTGTATTTCATCTCTATAAGGACCTGCTGTATGGTGGGTACTGTTATTCCAGCGTAAGCACATTTGTTCTTATGCAAGAACAAGAGTATGCTGATCTCAGCTTAATCCATCTTCAAAATTAGCCTAGGGATTCAAAATACAGTAGCCTTTTTAATCTGAAGATATTTTTAAATGATGTCAAAACCACTCTGGATAACCTTCAGCATGCCAAATGCCTACTGACTCACAGCAATGGAGTCAGTTTTGAGAGTATGCAACATCTCATAGGACTACATAGTTCTCAGAATCAAGAATCAAGCCTTGGACTATAACTGCTCGCCTCAGAAAACAAAATTGGCTCTTTTACACATTACTACCAAAGAGTTAAAATAACTCATACTCCAACAACTGTGAAGACGTCTAGAATTGTTAGTTTTCATACAGGAGGTGAAGTCAGGTGGTTAATTAATTCCATTTTCTTCCAGAGAGTTCACACAAATGCAGTTACTGCAGAACATAATTATGAAAAATGTACAACATTTTAATGTGTGGGCATGAATATATTAAGGGTATTAAAGCCTGTCACACTTATTTTAATAAGATGGATCATCTCAAAGGGTTCTTATTCTTTTTGACAAAACGGTTTCCCCCACCATCACCCACTTTCTAAATAAAGGCATACAAAGACACTACCTGATGCTATCAAGTAGCTTTAAGAAAGCTTAATTTTGTAACATGACACATCTACAAAGCCTTCAGGGCTCATTCATTTAAACTGTTACGAGAATAACAACATACATAGGTGGATAATTAGTCTTACATTACATCAAATTACATCAGTAATGGTAATAATGATTGTAAAGTGGCTGTGTGTTGTTCAGTAGAAGTTTGGAGATGTTTTCAACTGATTAGTGAATCACTTAAAATATAAGTTGCCTCCATCACTGATTTCTATCCATCAGGTTCACATGAAAGGTATGATTCACAAGGAATAATCAGATTACTCTAAACTAAGAAAGCAGCAGACCTGCAAATTCAGTGTACTAGTAAACAGACAGTCACTAAATCATGTATTTTATTATAAATAATGGTACAGAAGACTGAGAGAAAGATAAGAGAGGCTTGAACACCTGAGAGATTATACCAAAAAGCAGGGGGGAAAAGAAGAACAAAAGGAATACCAAAACAAAACAGGCTGCAAGATACGTTATTTCTTCCCTCCACAAGTACTTCTGTGCCTCTTGGAGAATTTTGTCAGGTCCTCAGTAGGACAGAAAAGGGACAAGACTTTAATACTACACAGACATGAAATGTACTTTCTTTGATTAAAAAAGCAGTCTTTCATATTGATTGAAAACATACAAGAATTTATCTTTTTTTTTCCCCACACTATCATTACTAGAAGCAATTATGCTAAATTACACCACATCATTTTAAGAAAAAAATATACCAGAGAACATTTAGCAGCTCCAGTCACAAGTGTCACCTAATTCACTTGTTCATAGTTCCCCTTCCAAAAGGGAAAAATATCCAGATAAAAGGTATAAATTATATCTAGATAACATAAATAATTTTAAATAATTTTAAATACTCTGAGTTCAAATTACTCTTGCCATGTCTTTCACAGTTTTGTTACATCACACAATACTAAATCCATAGCCATTTGTAGTAAGAAATGAATGCCCTTGGGCACAAGATCAAACTAGAACAGTGCATTTAAGATGTGCTGCTGTACTATTTTAACTATAGCTAGCCAGTTTTCAGTTCCTAATAACATTAGCAAACATGAAGTACTTTCCCCCGTGCTCATTAAAACAAAAGATAAATCTGTATTTTTTTGATTTTGAGAAGTTTCCTAGAAACACGATTGCATAAAGCAATTACATTATTGCGAGATAGTTTTATTGCTCATTTTTGTCTGTTGTAATTTCAACAGGGGATGACATGGTGAGTTAATGCTGTGTTCTCTCACTTTATTACTTTGATGATCAAGTTGCACTGGGGAGGAATTTAGTTTCATTGCATCTGAAAAAACTGCTCATATCAGCACGCACATTTCAACTGTTTACATATCTTCTACCTTCAGTTACCTCAAATTTAGCAGATTTCTACCTTTCAGATCAATGCAATACATCCTTGGGTCAGCATAAAGTTCAGATGAGAATCAAATAGCAAAAAGCAGTGAAAGGTGAGCCAGTGTCTGTAACTACAGCTGTATTCAGCTCCTACAGAGCCACAAATCACCCCTCAGGAAAGTCAAATATAACAATTTCCCTACTACTGCTACTACCTCAAGAGGAATCTCTCTGTACTAGTTCAGCAAGAGAACTACCAAGTAGTAGCTTAAACAACATTCACTGTGTATCACCATAATTTTAAGCAGCGAAGCATTTTATTTGCAGGAACCAGGAGCCTTTTTATTCCTGAAGGCCAAACAGAGCATGTGGGGACCATACACCTTCACATCATCCAAGACCATATAAAAAAATACATAGCCCCAGATCATATCAAATTAAGCCACTGACAAGTCTGTGCATTCCCCTGCTCTACAGTTAGGCAACTCTTAGAGTCTGCCAAGCGCCAGACTGAAACTCTGGGACTTGGCAACTCAAGGCAAAAATCATTTCATCTGAACACAGTGTTGAAGCCAAGCCCCAAACTGACACAAGTGCCTTGAGCAGACGTGTGTTTTGATTCCTTATCATTACTGTCAATTCCTTAGAGCCTCATGGCTTCTCCAAGCCAAGACTGTTTGCCTTATTCACACTGAAAACAAATACAGGTTGTTAACTTCTCCAGGATCATTTTTCTGTTTAATCATCTTCTAATCAAGGTATTCCTTCAGTTAAAAAAAAAAAAGCATAACATCCTAAATAAAAGACAGCTCAAAATACAAAAAAAAATAAGATTGTGCAATACAAGCTCTTATATACTTATCTTCAGTGTAGGCCATTTATTACATATATTCTCGGTATGACACATCTGAACTAAACAAAAAGGTAACATAACCTGGACTCAGTACAGGTGGATCTAAAATAAGTATATATGAATATGCACATCTCCTTCCTCATAACCACAAATAAACACTAGAGATCTTAAACAATAGCCGTAATACCTAACTACTAGAAGTGGCAGTTTTACAGCAAGTGATTACTGAGCACTACAGACAACATGGTTTGGTGAATCAAGCAAAGTATTAGAGATCTAGAGCGCTGCCTTACATATAAGTTACCATTTTATTTTTCCTGGTCAGTTCTATGTTTTATGGCTTCGGTCTTTCTGGTGAAATAAAGACATCAAAATAATTTTACTCTGTGGGTCTAATAAAATTTCTTCTGTAATGATATTAAATGCTTGGTTTTTTTAGAGCATGAGAGTATACAATTTAGTTAAATCTTGCAATGAAATACAATGTTACTTCATGATAAAAATTCTTGTGCTTTACTTCAAAAGCATTAACAGCATGAGTTTCAACCTAATTTCTTCCTCCTTTGCTATTTTTAAAATGTGATGGATTAACTATGAACTGGCATGTCATTTCATATACACACTCTTCAGAAAGAAAAACAACTAAATATATTTTGCCTGGGAAAAAAATAATACATTTATTTAGGACATTTGGATTCAGTTCTAAAACACTTGTGCTGTCCTGAGCAATGCATGCGATGTCTTCATCCCTTGAGTCTCTTCAAAATAAGCCTCTTGTCTATTTACACTGCAAACTGTTTGGAGTATAAACTTCAGAGCTAAAAGTATTCTAATAACTATATACTTCCTAATACCACCAGGCTCTCACTTCCACTGGGGCCTCTATATAGTGGAGTCAGATTTAATAACATTTCATACTAATGAAGTGATAAACTCTTAACACTGGTTAACAGGTAAGGAAAAAAGTCTCAAAAAATTAGCTTCAGCATAAATGTACTAATATAACAATTCCTCACAAGCAGTTTGGATAGATATTATTCAAAAAACTTTAAAACTAGCCATATATTTTTAAATATTTAAAGAACAACAGTCTAAAGATACAGCAGTTTTTTTCTAAAATGCTTTATGGTGGATTTAGTTCTGTACCACAACCAATCTGTATTCAGACACAGGGCAGGGTGGGAGCTGCAGAGAGCCGTCTCATGGGTCCAGAGGTGCACACTGAAACAGAATTCAAAAAGCTTTTCTTGCTTAATTTTTACCTCTTCTGAAGTGAACAGGACCAGTCTTGGCAAACCTGAAAGCCCTTTTTCCTTTATCTCAGGACAAAATCTGTATCTTGCTAAGTTCATAGCATACATATTAGAAACGGAGCCACCTGCAGAAAGAGACATAGAAATAGCATATTAGCCACAGTTCCAGCACCTGTCCTGTGAGCGCTTGACCTACTAGGGAAGGAAATAAACCACTTAAACTATACATGCATTCATTATAGCGTATTTCCCTCCGAAAAGCTTGCAGACAGAAAATGAATTTTGGGCTTTGCAGCATGCATGGAAACAGAGCGTGTTTGAATGCTCTTTGGGGATATCTCGTGAACAATGAAAACTGCCCAAACAGTCCTCCCCGACAGAAAATCTCCTGCAACAGCTCGTTCTCATTCACACCGAAGCGGTGCCAGCTCAGCTGCCTGTACTGAGCTCAGCTGTGGCTGCACTGTACAGAGCCTAGGAGATCTCTTGGGCAATCAGGCCTCAGAGTATTATGGGGGGAAAAAAGCCATTAGAAAAAAAAATAAAAATAATGACAAGTGGGAATGGAAAGGTCTGCAAGGTAAGATCTGGATGGGTTTTATTCGCTTCAAGGAACAAAACTAAAGAAAAATAAGTAGAAAAACCCTTACATAAAACTAGCACAAAAAAAAAGAGCACAATTCACATCTAGCCTAATACCTTTTTATCCAAATAATCTTCGGAATAATATCATTATGCTTCATTATTTTAATACAGTGGGCTAGAACACTGCTTTACAGAACATTTGAAAACCCTGGCTTATCAAGAAGCTTAAGAAATATTTGGTTGGCCTTACTGTAGTATTTAATAAAACTACCAAAACGCAAAGGAGTTAAGCTCATGACACTCTCAACTAAGATAAACTCTGGTTCCCACAGTTGATAGGCCAGATAAACAGATCAGTGCTCTCAGACACTACTGGTTGGTGTCTAGCACATAAATTGGCTCCCTATTTGTCAACTGAGTTCACTCAGTCCTATGAGGCTGTCGGTATTGTTGTTAATAAAGTCTGAAAGGGCATTAGTTACAAACAATTAATTTCCATATAATTGTATTTAATATAGAACTGGTTTCATTCATTCACTGATCAGAGTCACAGAATTATTATCAGAAACACATAAAGTAAACCTGGATTAAATAGTTGTGTGTGTGCACCACTGGATTTTTGTGTACATTTTCAAATCATAGAATCTTTTAGGTTGGAAAATACCTCTAAGATCATTGAGTCCAATCATTCACCTAGCAACACCAGACCCACCACTAAATCACGTCCCTGAGCACATCTACACATCTTTGGAATACTTCCAGGGATGGTGATGCAATCACTTCCCTGGGCAGCCTGTTTCAGTGCTCGACAACCCTTCTGGTGAAGAAGTTTTTTCTAATATCCAACATAAACCTCCCTTAAAGCAACTTAAGGCTATTTCCTCTTATCCTATTGCTTGTTACACAGGAAACAAGACGAATCCCCTTCTCATTACAATGTCCTTTCAGGTAGTTGTAGAGAGTGATAAGGTCTCCCCTCAGCCTCCTTTTCTCCGAGCTGAACAACTCGATCCCCTAAGCCACTCCTCGTAAGACTTGTTCTCTAGACCCTCCACCAGCTTCGTTGCCCTTCTATGGACAAGCTCCAGCACCTCAGTATCTTGTTTGTAGTAAGGCACAAAAACAAACACAGGATTCAAGGTGTGGCCTCACCAGTGCTGAGTATAGGGGCACAATCGCTGCCCTGGGCCTGCTGGCCACATAATTTCTGACACAGGCCAGGATGCCGTTGGCCTTCTTGGCCACCTGGGCACACTGCTGGCTCATGTTCAGCCTGCTGTTGACCAACATCCCCAGGTGGTTTTCTACCAGGCAGCTCTCCAGCCACTCCTCCCCAAGCCTGTAGAATCATAGAATGGCCTAGGCTGGAAGGGACCTTAGAGATCATCTAGTCCAACCTCCCTGTTTTGGGCAGGGATGCCACCTCTCGACTAGACCTGGCAACACATGGGGACCAAGCAGGAATCGAACCCGCGACCTCAGTGTTGATCCTTGTTGCCAGCACCGTGCTCAAACCACTGAGCTAACGGGCCCCCTGTAGCGCTGCTGGGGTTGCTATGACCTAAGTGCAGGACTCGGCACTTGACCTTGTTGAACCTCATGCAACTGGCCTTGGCCCATGGATCCAGCCTGTCCAGATTCCTCTGTAGACTCTTCCTGCTGCATGCAGATCAATACTCCTGCCCAGTCTTGTGTCACATGCAAACTTATGAGGGTGCACTCAATCCCCTTGTCCACATCATTGGTAAAGATATTAAACAGAACCGGCCCCAATACTGAACCCTGGAGAACACTGCTTATGATCAGCTGCTAACTGGATTTAACTCAGTTCACCACCAGTCTTTGGGCCTCGCCATCTTTGGGCCTCGCCATCCAGTCAGTTTTTCAGCCAGCAAAGGATATGCATTTCTAAGCCATGAGCAGTCAGTTTCTTTAGGAGAATACTGCGGGGAACAGTGTCAAAGGCTTTACTGAAGTCTGGGTATACAACATCCACAGCTTTCTCCTCATCCGCTAAGAAGGTCGCATTGTCATAGAGGAAGTATATTAGTTTAGTACATTCTACATTATTCAACATTCATGGAGTTACTGTTATTAGTCAGTTTATATGACTCAGCTCAAAATCTGAACTGTTCCCACCTGGATTAAATATACCATCACCTTCTTCCCATCCTATGAACTCAATCATTTTCTTGATGACTGCTTCTTCCACCAGCAGAAACACAGGGGATACCTCATACGTGTATCTGGACAAAAATAAAAGCACCATGATTGGTATAAGAATACAGATCTCATGCCACAAAATATTGCTAAAACTGGGTAAAAGTTTCTTTCACCTTTCTCTAATCTATCAGAAGCTGATCACCATCAGAAGCACAGCTCTAAAAACACAACAGATATGACACAGTAGAGCAATTGAAACAGCATCACATTGACACTTCTACTCTCAAGGTATTGCATCGGAGTTTGCTTTTCATGTAGGTCACATGCTTAAATTTCAGCTGTAACAATCCATGGCAAGCAACAATCACGTTTTTTCAGGCTTTACATTTGCAAGCAAAGAGTAGACAAGTAACCATTTGCATCCAACTCTGCAGAATGCTTCAAAGGAAATGAACAACTGAGTAAGCCTGATTAATTCATCTTTTAAGTAAGATATAAGCCTCGTTTAAAAGCATTGGGAAAAAAAAAAAAATCTCTGCTCTTAAACATCACCTCACAAACTAGAAAAAAGGCTTCATCAGATTAGCCAAGCTTCTGATTGGCTACTCAACCAGTCCAGACTCTTTTCTCTCCCAAGTTCCTGCACAATTCCTGCCCCCTCCGTAACACCGTAAACAGAAACCAGAAGAAGGGGGGGGGGCCGGAAAGACAAGCAGGGTGCAAAAAAAGATGTTATTCCAAAAAGCACGTTAATTCATCAAGAGGACAAAGAGCTACACTTACACACTTGGGTTCAGTGCTTCTGTAATGAAACGGGCCACTAACGAGTAATAATCTATTCCAGCATACAGCTGATTGAAAAATCTTGGATGACCTGAAAATACAGATAAAAGCAAGCAGTGACAGGATATACATGATAAGGGAATATATCACAGGCCCTCTCAGTTGAACGCTGATCACTGCAAACCACAATTCACTCCATCATTCTCTCAGTATTTTTGGGAATTACTGTCCTTTACTTAGGTTAGACAATCCCTTGGAAGTAAATTTAATAAGCGCTTTCAGATCCCCAAACAAGGTTTGAGAGATGTAAGTAGCACATAGAATGAATGTGTGTTGTTCATAAGTTAGCCAAAATAAAAAAAAAAATAAATAAAAGAAAGGGAAAAAAAGGAGGGGACTGACAGTGGAGCATACACAGTGGCTTTTAGCAGTGGTCTTGAGAGACCACAATGGATGCTTTGACAAATTTTCTAAGCAGTAGAATACAGGAACCTCTCTCAGAGAGAGGCAGTTAAATGGCTTGGAAAAACTTGCTGCAGACTTAAAGTGAAAAGTTAAGAGAATTTGTTTACCTGCCTTGAAACGCTGAGATATAACTAATTATGAGAAAATTGTATGATATTGCTGACCATAAAAATAAGTCAGTTCAGTGGGATTACCATCTAAATTTTAATCCAGAGCCTAGTACTTTTACATGCAAAACCAGGTAAACTGTATGGCTCTATTTATATTATATCTGGGGCTTCAATAAATGTTTATACTTGGATTAAAGACTACTTGCACAGCATGTTTTTATATAGGATATTCTTTCTAATGTGGCATAGTGTAACAAATGAAAATCTAAAGGCAATTTGCAAGAGTAAGATAAACAGAACACCTTCCAGTATCTCAGTAATTATATCTGCATACTGTTAAAGCACTACCTCTGTAGATCAGTATTGCTACTTTTCTATGATTTTTCAAAGGCATGCATTCACTCTCAAAATTATTTTACAGTTTTACTTTGTGACTGTAGCAGGGAACATGCCTTGCAAATACACAACTAACTATAACATATGTCCTCACTTTTCAAAACACAGCCTAAGCTATGCCACATCCAAAACCCTGAGCTACTGATGCACAGCACTTCTGTCTGAACAGATGTGGTTCATCGTTTTGTGTTAAGATAGAATTATACCACTCATGCTGCAGCAAGGTTAGCTGTAGAGAACTAATCCTGCAGAGATGTGGTGCGCTGTCTCTGAAATACTGAAGGCTCTGTTCTCACAGTGTCTGAAAGAGAAATTACTAACACCCAAAGGTCTTTCTCCTGCCTGTTTTCCTAGACTGTTATATGGTACCTGTCTGGGTGATTTTCACAAGACTTCAAAATGACAGAATCTACCATTAATGTCAATGGTATCTCAGGAATTAGTTTTCAATTAGGTTGCCACGATTACACATTTTAGCCCATCCTATGATGACCAGCGTTCAGTCAATCAGAAACGGCCAAACCTCTGCATACTTCCACAGACAGGCAGAAAACAAACATTCACACACCTGGTTTCCTGAAAGGTGACAGAACTTGGTAAATATTATCCTGTCTTCCTAAGTTAGCACATGAAATAATTGCACTAGAAAACACATTCCTACCAGTTTTGACGCTGTATTTTATAACATCCCTGCAGAGTTGCAAGAGTTTCTGATGAGATTCTCCAGTGTCCCTCATTTCCAGGTCAAGCATCTGTTTCAGTGTTTCAGGGGCTCGCCACTCACAAACCTAGTGATGGGGAGAGGGGAGACACCAGCAGTGAACAGGTTAGCCAAGAAGTAGATGTTATGAAGGTACAAGGTAAGCACCACATTCAGCACTGGTTTCGTGAAACTGCCCATTGCAGGGCAGCACGCCACCAGAAAAATGTCTCTGGTAAACCAATCTCACAGGATCTCGGTTTTATTGTGTCTCAGGCATTGCCTGACCATAAAAAAATTGAGCGAGAAATGCTAGAAGGCAGAAAAGCACGAGGCCTGAAGGTTAAAATCTGCCCTTAGCTAAGGATTTGTAATCACAGCATTTTCAGACGCTGTTCTGCCAAGGGATGGAAGCAAACAGTGCATACTCAAAGGCAAGAATGATTCATTTGCAGCTCCTCTTCCTATACAGCCTCTTAAGCAGGGGTTCTGTGAAACCCATTGCAATCCGATATTGTCCCCTTTCACAGCGGTACCACATCCACTGTTCTTCCTTCTCCAATACCAGTGCCCCTGAAGAGCAAACAAATAACTTCCTGCACCCCAAAACAAGAAATACACTACTCCCATTTGTCACCTCAAAGAAAGTGACCATTGTACTCCAGGATGAAAAACTCGTTATTTTCTGGCAAATACGTTCACTGATTACGTTATTGAAAGATTTTATAATATGATCATTGTTAATTTGTAAGGCTGTCTTTATTTCAGAGCCAGACACAGACTAGAAGCAATTTTGAGGATACTTACAGTGCAATAAAATACAGCTTAGAAAAAAAAACTATTTACTGTTCATTATCTCCATTACAAATTCTCAACAATACTCTACGGCTTTACCTTTTCTGTTACATCATCAGCTTTCTGGATGATTTCTTCCATGATAATCTTACAGGCCTCTTCCACAAACTTCTCTCCTGCTCTTGAGTCCATTATCGGACCATTTAGGATGACACCATCCACCAAAACGGCATTCTTCTTCTTCTGAAGCATCTCTTGTTTGCAAACAAAATATGGAAAATCATAGAATCATAGAATCATAGAATGGCCTAGGCTGGAAGGGACCTTAGAGATCATTTTAATCCAGCCTCCCTGTCACCAGGGACACCACCTGTCAACTAGATCAGGCAACACATGGGGACTGAACGGGAATAAATAACACCATCAGCGCACAGCCTGGACAAATAAATCATAAACTAAAAAAATATTGCTGAAGATTTAGTGACCTTAAGATAAAAAATTCAAAGGGACTTCCACATGTACAAAAATCCTAGATTTTTGTGGAGAGTTTTTACAGACAAAAAAACCTCCAGATGTTACTTCGAAGCTAGATTGCTATTATGTACATAATAACAGCCTACTGCATGGTATCTACCGCTTTCTATAGCATACAAAAGCATGCAAGGCAACTTCCAAACATAGAGGAAAACATAGTTCTGGTCTAGAACATGATGCAGCTGGATAAACAGAAATAAAGTGCAAGATAAAAGGCATTTCTCTTAGCTGGTGAAGTTTCCCTCCATGTCATTCCTCCTGCTCCCCTTCTCTCATGACATAATTTTCAGCTTCATTTCCCATATCTTTACGCTGCTCCTTCCCACCAGCCAGTCCCAGTGCTGAGTCTTCTGCGTCCTTTGCAAAGTGTTTCACTGACTCACACTCCAAGAAGATAAAACTTTTTAATATTGCTGTCAATATCGCATACTGGTACTTCTTTCTGCCCTTATCCTATTAAGTCTTAAGTGCCCTCAGTCACTAATTACAGCAATTTGCTGTGCAGATTATCTCGTTTGTTCACTTTTCCAACGCTCTCTTCTCTCCCTCACTCTTAACCACAAGACATACTCTCCTGATGTGTTCCATAAACACATTGCTACTTCCTCCTTTACATTACTTCTGAAAGCACATCCAAGATGCCAGCATCTTATGCCAACAGCGACAACCACGTATCTATTTCATGTATTGATTTCATATGGCAAGATCAGGACTCCAGCTTTAATCAACGTGAGGATAAAGATGAAAGTGAGACCTCTGGAGATATCAAGGGAACAGACATTTGAAACAGTATAGTGCTGAAAGAAGAAGCAGAGACTACAATATCCAAATTACCTCAGTTACAGACAGCCTCTGTCCACTGATCTCAGCCTAGAATACCTAAGATCTATGAAGCCAGGCAGCATTGCCTTGAAGAGTAATCTTCATCTACAGTAAGGACAGTGGAAGCGTAAAGATGTATGAAGGAGAAAGTTCTATGCCCAAAACAACTTTATCTTCTGCTTCACTTTTGGCTCCAGTTACAAGGCACAGAAGAAAAGTAGCTTTTTCACAGGTCTAAATAAACAACCAAATTTCCAGAAGACTGGCAGACACTGCAGCCTGACACATTCATCACGCTTATTGTAATTACAGTTCCTCATGTGCAGGAGGATACAGAAGAACAACTATGCTGCCTAGAAAGGTGCATGACTTTGAGGTTCATTGATTGAAAGAAACCCTGTCAGTCCCATGAGCTTTTATTTACTGGTGACTCAGAGAAGCTATTCAGTTCATTTTCACTTATGAGGAGAGATATGACAAACATAAAATTCTAACATGAGATAGAACTTCAGGCTTCCCGTAACACTGATGACAAACATGAGATCCCACTTTTTGCATTTCTGAAAGTACTTTTATTTTTAACCCAAAGGGGTAATATACTACATTTTGATGGACAGAGTAGCCTTTGGCACATTGCTATAAGAGAGGTATAAATAATTTTATGGGACAGATGCAGACAGAACAAGCAGGTAAATAGTATTACACCTTCAAAAGGCAAAAAGGAAATAAAAATCACAGATATCAAAAATGTCAATTCTCATCACGCTTCCCAGCACATCACAGCAGACGCCTTGTACAGAAACTGCAGCTTTGAAAAAAATTCTTAGGGGTTTCTCTTTGAAAACACAATCTAGTAGGTCAACTTTACAGGACTTAAAACATTCGGTATTAACAAGGAACTGGAACACATCAGGTCTTTGGGCAGACAGAACAGGGAGTATTTTTGGATTAAGAGTTAGGTTTTGATATAAAGAGCTGCTTTAACCAAAGTTTAACATAAACACAAAAAAGAATCTCAGCCTCAACATCACCTGAAAATACTACCCTCTCCATGTACGTCAAGGGTGTTTTGTTTCTACAGAAAAAAAGGACAGGTTCTAAGAAAACTATACGGGAGATTAACATCTACCACAGAGCACAGATGTTGATAATTTCCTTTGGTTACAAGAATAGATGATGGAGCAACAGAACTCACCGAGTTCTTGTTTCTGTTCTGCTTCACCTCTCAGGTCTCTGCTAGAACCAGAGCTGTACAAAAGCTTTCTGTTGGTAACCCCATCAGCCCTATTTCTGAAACTTTTGCACGGAGATGTGACACTAGGACTTCCATGACTTTTACAATGATCTCTTCCAGGGATTCATTGCAAAGCAAAAGCAGAACTTCATATAACTTTTTCTACAAGAGCTTTAGGAGGCTGAGTGATAGGTCCAGCAACAGCTCTCTATTTGAAGCAGATCTGTTCACCTCTGTACACAGTTTTACAGTCTCTATAGGACACTTTGTGGAGTCTGAGGAAGAAGACATCCTCTGGAAAAGGAGTGATAGTCTACCTCTACTCCCAACAAATCTGTGTTGGGCCTCAGGCACAGTCTACAAAAAAAAAGAAAGGCAAAGCAGAGGGGTTAGAAGAGGGGAGGGAAAAGGGTCTTCATTTCAATAGCAATTCATCCGTGTAATGCTCTAGCAAAGAGTTCAGGATTTATCCCACGTTATATTTCATTAAATAATACACCTCGCAGTTATTTACTACTTTCCCCAATAATTTTTTTGTTATCACTTACCATTTCAATCTGAACTTGCTGAGCTAAAGTCTGCCCTGGAACACCATAAGACTGTTACCAGAAATGAACAGGAACAACGATTTCACAATCAGCAGCTAAATCAAGCCCCAAAGATACGCATTTTCTGAGGTAAGGTCTTCAGCAAAGCACTGTTGGATATATACACTCATCCTTCATGATTTTACTGCAAACCCTGTGATACTTAATCTTCTACTTATAACTGTCTGACTTCAGCAGTTCTTTCAAGAATTCCAAACTCTTCTTTACTGAAAAATTTGTTTCCTCTTGGTTGCTGTAAAAAACCTTGAATAGGAAAACTAAGTAGATGATAAAATTCTGAATTTTCATAACACTTTTTAATCACCTTTTTAAAAAATCCTATGACGAATATATTATGTTTTAGATGGATAAATCTCTAGAAAGATGTAAGGTTCACTTTTTGTGTCACAGTACTCAAATAGCGTGCCTTTAACACCTTCTGAGAGCTCAGCATCCAAGATAAAAAAACCATATAGACTATCTTTATAAGCTGATAATTTTCCTCTTAAAACAAATATTAAGAAATTCTACGTCAAATGCTCAAAACATTATTTTCTAAGATTTGGGGGCCTTTTACCTATTTGTCTCAAATGCACTTGATCACATGAAGGGAATGCGTTCCGCACAGAGCATATTGTCGCATATACCTTTTTTCTTTCAAAACATGATAGGCAAACAATGTAGAGTTGTTGCTGCAATGAATATATTCTTTCTTTAAGAATACAGAAGCAGACTCCTAAGCAGACTCAGAAAGCAGACTTCCAGAAGGTATATCAAATGCAATTTCAGCCAAATGGCTCCAGGCTTTAAACTGAACTCACGGTTTACCAAATGGAAGTGCTTTAAATCAGAGATTAAGGATTATTGGCTGTTCAGGATATCCTTCAGCAAAAAAGAGAAGACTAGATCCTGCTCCAATTGAAGGCAATTAGGCATTTAGCCACTGGCTTCAGCAGTAGCAGAATTGAGCCCATAATGTTCACATTTCATCCTGCATAAAATATTTTATTACAGAAGCTTAAGAATTTCCAACCCGCATTTCATTTTTATGATCAATATTATCTTCCCAGTAGAAAATATAAATTAATTGGGACTGAAATAACGTACAGAAAAATATTTTTTTCAGTTGTTTCTAAATCTTTATGTAAGCACTACCAAGTATTTTAAAAGCTGCATCTGTGTTTCCATAAACATACAGAAACTTTTGCTGCTCCATTCTTGCACTACAAAAAGAAACCAGAGCCTTGTACTTGGCACAGTCTGACAACATTTGGAAGAGTAGAATTAAAATGCCCTGAAAGATTTATTGCTCACGAGGAAAAGGCAGAAACAGAAGGGGGGGTTGTGAAAGAGTAGCTTGTGCTTGAATGTCAGAGCCAAATCCTGGTGAGTTTATGCTGTACTAGCACCACTGACTACTCAAGCAAATGCAAAAGGCTGGCTTTGACCAAAGGCCGATTTCTGCTTTATACCAAATGCAATAATAATCTGCAGCATTAATCAGAAACAAATTTTAAATTCCTCATTCTCATGTTCCAGTCATATTTCTTTCAGAAGATCTCAACATATTCTTTAAGTGTGTCCAGCAAAAAAAAAAAAGTGAACTTTAGTGTTGAGACGTTTAATGGATTACTGCAGTGCCATATCGTGTATCAAAGTAGTAAAATACAGACCCCTCCCATACTATGAAATTAGTTGAGTCTCAGGGAATATATAATCTTTAAAGACACTTTTGTTTCTTTAATCACCACTTTCTGTGTGTCTATGACTGAAAGAAAGCCACTCCAGTTTCAAGGCAAAACACATTGTTTCTTAGTAAACTGATTGCCTAGGCCTTTGCCAAGGAAATGGGATGCAGATTTCTCAGAACCCAGTGACTAAGTTGACTTGGTGTCTTGACAAAGCCACCCATACAAAAAAGAAAAAAAAAATAGGCACAGGTACAGTAGGGCTCATGCACTTGCCCCTATACTACATGTTCTTGTTTTGCAGTCCTGTGGACAGGGAACACCCTAAGTTGCTTTTTTTCCTTTAGAAGGCCTGCAACAGCCTCGCCGCACGTAGGAATCCTCCAA